ACTGAAGCTGTAGATCCAGGACTGAAGCTTTAGATCCAGGACTGAAGCTGTAGATCCAGGACAGAGGCTGTAGATCCAGGACTGAGGCTGTAGATCCAGGACTGAGGCTGTAGATCTAGGACTGAGGCTGTAGATCCAGGACTGAGGCTGTAGATCCAGGACTGAGGCTGTAGATCCAGGACTGAAGCTTTAGATCCAGGACTGAAGCTGTAGATCCAGGACTGAAGCTTTAGATCCAGGACTGAAGCTGTAGATCCAGGACAGAGGCTGTAGACCCAGGTCGCTCCCTCTGGCCCAGCACTGCTCTTGTATTGACTCTGTTGCACATTATAAATCAAGCCGGACTCCGGCTTTCCTTACAAGTCCCTAATGAAAGCTCATTCATAACAAGGCTAAATGGTCCTGACAAAAGTCCTAATGAGGAAATCAATAGAACCATGATTGTTGCTCTGCTTATACTAATACACAGCTGTTGAGCTCCATTATTTACTGCTGGGACTTGGGACGTGTCAGCACTCCTCTGGCCCCCACCTCGGAGATGGATGGGCCCCACTGTCTGTGCACTGCTTCTTGGAACGATCAGGAGCTCCAGCGCGAGCCCGGATTCTGCTTTGGACTCATGCGAGGAATGTGGAATTGTGGCATCGCAGCAGTTTGGCCCAAGACAAATGGAAGCAGATCAGCCCCATTGATTACTGACGCGTTTCTGATAAACTATGAGGAAGTCGCAAACCAGCGGACGAGACACTACTTTTCTGTTTGTCGCCAAATTCCCCGGTCCTCAGCACTGTGTACATGCAACATTCTCTCAACTCTGAGTCGGTATTCATATTTTTCAGTTTCCTGTTTCATGCATCATTTTAAGATTTTGTTATTGTTTAAAATGGTTCATCTCTTTGTGGTCCTAACCTCTCCTCCGTACACCTGGAGAGTGAGAGACAACTCCAGGTCTATTTTTATTAAGGGAACAATAGAGTTTTGATTACTGCTATAATGAGCACTGGGCCCTCTAACCCTCACTTAACCTCTGGGAACACCAGCCACAGTGGGGCGGCTGTGGCTGTAAAGTGCCAAACTGCCGTTGTGTCCTTGGACAAGACACTTTACCCCATTGCCTAGAATGAGTCTGGTGTGTGTGTGAATGGTTGGTGGTGGTCGGAGGGGCCGATGGCACATACTAGTTGCCTCACTTCTGTCAGTGTGCCCCAGGGCAGCTGTGGCTACAGTAGTAGTTTATCACCACCGTGTATGGAGTTAAAGAATAATGACATGTAAAGCAGCTTTGAGTGTCCAAAAAAGCACTATATAGAGCCGATGCATTATTTTATTATTATTATTATTCATAGGCAGTGATTCTGTCTTAAGCAAACATTAATATCATAAATACTATGAGTCTTGAAAACTCAACCCGATGGAAAAAGAATGTTATAATTGAATTGATAGTGTTCACATAACTGCTAATAATTTATCAAATTCAATACAAATTCAAGCGAATAATCCAACTCACAAATGAAACACCCACATATACACACAAACATTCTCCTTGGCACTGTTGTTAGCTCTGTGTGACTGCAGGTGTAAATAAGAAAAGCCACATTCACCAGTGTCTGACTCCAACAGAGTGAGACGTTGTGTTCTGTCTGAAATAATGCGATGCTCAGTTACATCGTTCTATTGGCAATTTTGATGTAATTGTATCATCAAGCAGTCGAAATGAGCTTCCTCCGCAGAGTGGCTGCTCCCTTAGAGATAGGGTGAGGAACCAGTTGAAGTGGCTTGGGCCTCTGTTCCGGATGCCTCCCTGGGGAGGTTTTCCAGGCACGTCCCACCTGGAAGAAACCCCGGGTAAGACCCAGGACACGTTGGAGGGACTATTGCCGCTTTTCCACAGTCCTATTATGTATGTCCTCGGCGTTGTCAGACCACGTCATTTACGTGTGACGCGTAACTAGTACTGGTGCGGTGCATGGATTTATTATAATACCAGAGCAAGTGTTTAATAGAAAATTCAGCACAGCACGAGTAGTTTTTTAAAATGCTTTTGTCTTAAAAGAATGACTCAGACACTGTGAAGTCAATGGTGCTGCTCTGTACAATCTGAATGGACCTGTAGCAACAGCAGCCTGTGTAGCAGAGGAGGAGGGCTGCATGTCCCAGGATACTGCTAGGCTATAGCTAATGCTAGGCTATAGCTAATGCTAGGCTATAGCTAATGCTAGGCTATAGCTAATGCTAGGCTATAGCTAATGCTAGGCTATAGCTAATGCTAGCGCTAGCTCGAGACTCTGCTCACTCACTAACCCTGGATTCCAAAGCTACTACAATACTACACTTAACACATCTGTCACTACCATCAGAGGAGGATCCGGGGTTTAAACTCGTCATATGGCAACTCCAGCAGTAAAGGACCGAGGGAGAGACAGCGGCAGCCATAGGGGCAGCGAGTTAGTGGCTAGGCTAGGCTAGGCTAAGCTAGTCCAGACTCGGGTCCGGACTACAGCAGACTCCGAGACCAGACAAACAATCGATACCCAAACCTCAGCTACAATAATAATAAATGAATGAAACAGTCTTGATACAATCACAGATTTATTGAAAACAAAAGTAAAGTGCAAAACCAACAGTTTACAAAGTCGTATGTACGTATGTCAGAGACCAGGTCCAGACCAGGTCCAGACCAGGTCCAGACCAGGCCCAGACCAGGTCCAGACCAGGCCCAGACCAGGTCCAGACCAGGTCCAGACCAGGTCCAGACCAGGTCCAGACCAGGCCCAGACCAGGTCCAGACCAGGCCCAGACCAGGTCCAGACCAGGTCCAGACCAGGCCCAGACCAGGTCCAGACCAGGTCCAGACCAGGTCCAGACCAGGTCCAGACCAGGCCCAGACCAGGTCCAGACCAGGTCCAGACCAGGTCCAGACCAGGTCCAGACCAGGCCCAGACCAGGTCCAGACCAGGCCCAGACCAGGTCCAGACCAGGCCCAGACCAGGTCCAGACCAGGTCCAGACCAGGTCCAGACCAGGCCCAGACCAGGTCCAGACCAGGTCCAGACCAGGTCCAGACCAGGTCCAGACCAGGTCCAGACCAGGTCCAGACCAGGTCCAGACCAGGTCCAGACCAGGTCCAGACCAGGCCCAGACCAGGTCCAGACCAGGTCCAGATGAGAATAATCCGGTCACTCATTACTCGTTGGTAATCTCCACACTTATGGAAAGGGATTCTCAAACAAATACACACAACAACATAAATACAAGCACAAAACAGAAACACGTGAATACTGCAGATAATACGAGATAAAGCACAGTAGCACAGGGAGGACGTTAGCTTAGCTGCTATCGATAGCTAAATGAAGCTAAATGTAGCTCGCTCACTGTGTACAACAGACAATCAAACATGTACACAGTAAATACATTTCAGTGAGAGCTTTAGGGGGTTCGTAGCTAACCAGTTATTTCAGGATTACCACAGACTAGTCACAAATCCAGAGCAATCTCCTGAAAACTGTGATGAGCCTCGAGCTGTCTTTGGATTCTTTCTTTGGCCTGAAGAGAGGAACGTGTGGACCTCTTCCACCGACCAGGACCAGGACTTTTGGGGCTTTCTGTGAGATTCCATTTCTCTGGAGTGAGGAGGACGTAATGTAGCCGAAGCAGAGCCGAGCAGAGCAGCCGCTTTTAAAGATGGCGGTTGAGTTGTTTTTCCCAAAGGGTCAGAGGTCGCTTCCAGTGACGACACTCGTTGACCAATCAGTGTAAGGCAGTGGGCCGACGTCACGTCATGGCACGGGTACTATGGGGATGGAACCACGGCTGAGGCAGTACAGAAAAGTACTCAAATCTCCCATTCCATCCACTAGTGGAAACGCAAAATAACCGTGCTGAAGCGTACTGTACCGTACTGATACTGTGGAAAAGCGGCATATGTCTCTCAGCTGGCCTGGGAACGCCTTCGGGTCCCCCCGGATGAGCTGGAGGAAGTGTGTGTGGATAGGGAAGTCTGGGCGTCTCTGCTTAGACTGCTGCCCCCGCGACCCGGCAACGGATGAAGCGGAAGAAAATGGATGGATGAAAAGTACTCCCTTAGAATTGAGTGCCCCCCTTCCGATTATGACTGTTTCAACAACCATACACCGCACAAGAGGAGAGCCTTTTGTCTCCAAAACAGACAAGATTTACATGGTTTTCAAGGGGAGCAAAACTAAGTTCTTCCGTCTCTGCTCATTCGCCCCCTACAGGCCAGGTTAAAGAATCCCAAGAATAGGTTTCCATAGCACAACGTACAATACAAATGATGCGCCGTTTTAAAGCAAACGAGTGGACGGACACAACCATTATGGCGTCGGTGATTGACGATCATCAGGTCACCCACCCCTTCCGTAGGACCCCATTCCTTTCACCTGGCACTACAGCAGGAGTAAGGCTTTTCAGTGCTTCCGGCACTGATTTATCAGTGTCTGGGTACGCGTCGTCGGGCTTCGATTCGTCCGTAAGAGTTAAAGAAACCTACCCCTTTAATAGGACCTCATTCATTTCACTGTGTACTACAGAAGGAATATAGCCATTTATCGGTTTATCGGTGTTTGGGCACGTGTCGTAGCGGTGCAGGTCATTGTGACTGTGACTTAACACAGTTACAACAAGTATGGGAAAGTAATACAGAAGAAATAAATGGCTGTATTCCTTCTGTAGTACACAGTGAAATGAATGAGGTCCTATTAAAGGGGTGGGTTACTTCAACTGGCCTCGTTGTTAAAGCAATAGGCCCTTACCCCAGTTGGGGCTTGGGCCTAATAAGGAATTTTTTCCAATAATCTCAGAGTAAAAACAATATAGGTTTCCATAGTAACCTATAATACAAATGATACACCATTCAATTTGTTTAAAATGAGCAGTATTAGTATTAATTGTATAGAGCCCACCCTTAAGCAGTCTTACATTCATTATGAGATCATCACATTTCCTTCTCTCAGGCACTATCACCATGCCCTGCCTGAATGAGAATCAGAGCTCCTCATGACCCACTCCTGTGGGGCCCCCCTGCCTCCAGCTCGGGCCTCCTCTGCTCTGTATGCAAACATTCTGTACGGCAGTAATTAGGAGGATGTAATGAAGCTCAGCGGCGTGTCCAGATGGTGACTGCATGGCCCCATTGAGGTCATCGATCATCAGCCTGAGCAGCACCCCAGCCTGAGCTAATTGAGGGCCAGCGAGATTACCAACCTTACCCCCTAGACCCTTATCGAGACCCGTGACCACCCTGTCGAGAGCCCCTAACGCCCTCCTGTGGAGCACCCCTGTGAGACGAATTAACTGGGCTCAACACTCTGCTTTAGGATTCTGTTTTATGAATGTGCTGCATGGGGTCTGTTTTAACAACCTGGAGAGAGAGCTTTAGCCTGTTACTGAACTCTTACTATACACATTCAATTTATTTGACAGTTGCAAAAAAAAAAAACACATTGGAAGACATGTGCAAAAGTACCCCAGTTTGTTACATAGATAAATCATGTTAAAATGTCCAGCAAACTATTTTAAAGTATTTAACTATTTATTAACAGGGGATAATTAAAGTTCTTTGTTCAAACTGATAACAGCTAATTGAAAGAAGAATATGATATGATAAAGAAACTATTATCATATCTCACATAGCATCTCACAGCTCACGATCGTCTTTGCAGAGTGGAACATCTTGTTTAGAGCTCTGCTTTCTTGCTCTGCTGTGATGTTACAGAACCTCAACAAAGAAAACATGCTACTATTAGTTCATACATACACTAAGCACTCAACACCCACCCAGAGCCGACGTTCTGTAATCTCTAAAATCACTCTCTTTAATATTAGATAGATACTTTATTGATCCCCATAGGAGACATGCAGATGTTCAGTAGCAGCAAAAACACACATCCATCCACACAAACAAAAATAAATAAATTGATCATTCTAAAAAAGATAACAATAGTAATAATAAGAAACAGCGCTTAAGGTCACAGTAGCAGAGATGGTCTAGCGTTAGGGTGGAGCAGGACAAGTCAAATTAGGCAGAGGCGGGGCCGCTTGGTTCGGACCATTTTCTCTGCTCTGGTCCAAGGTAAAAGGCTAAATGCTTTGTTAGCATTTTCCTCCTGTGGATTTTCGCCTGATCTGCTTATTTCAGACCACGAATACTCTCCGCTCCTGTCTGGACCAGTGTAAAACCATGACCACTGTACTGCAGCAACATTTAAGGAAGAAAAAAGCAAGAAAAATAAGCACAAAACAACAACTGTTTCAGAGCTACTTAGGACTCCAGGAAAATTAAACATCCTAATAATTAACAGTGTATAATTTGCTTAGAATAAATCTGGGTTATGTGTGAATGGTTGGTGGTGGGAGGGGCTGATGGCACAAACTGGTTGCTGTGGCACCACAGCTGTGCCCCAGGGCAGCTGTGGCTCTTTCAGTGTGCTCCAGGGCAGCTGTGGCTCTTTCAGTGTGCTCCAGGGCAGCTGTGGCTCTTTCAGTGTGCTCCAGGGCAGCTGTGGCTCTTTCAGTGTGCTCCAGGGCAGCTGTGGCTCTTTCAGTGTGCCCCAGGGCAGCTGTGGCTCTTTCAGTGTGCCCCAGGGCAGCTGTGGCTCTTTCAGTGTGCCCCAGGGCAGCTGTGGCTCTTTCAGTGTGCTCCAGGGCAGCTGTGGCTCTTTCAGTGTGCTCCAGGGCAGCTGTGGCTCTTTCAGTGTGCTCCAGGGCAGCTGTGGCTCTTTCAGTGTGCTCCAGGGCAGCTGTGGCTCTTTCAGTGTGCCCCAGGGCAGCTGTGGCTCTTCTCTTCTGTCAGTGTGCCCCAGGGCAGCTGTGGCTCTTTCAGTGTGCCCCAGGGCAGCTGTGGCTCTTTCAGTGTGCCCCAGGGCAGCTGTGGCTCTTTCAGTGTGCCCCAGGGCAGCTGTGGCTCTTTCAGTGTGCTCCAGGGCAGCTGTGGCTCTTTCAGTGTGCTCCAGGGCAGCTGTGGCTCTTTCAGTGTGCTCCAGGGCAGCTGTGGCTCTTTCAGTGTGCCCCAGGGCAGCTGTGGAGTGTATGAATAATGCTGTAAAGCATCTGTGAGCACCCAGAAAAGCTGTGTATCAAAGAAGCTATACCCCATTCATTTATTCATAAAAATGTGTATTACTTCATACAAGTTGTATTAAAATCCGTAATTTAATTTAAAACTTGAACAAATTGATTCAGCTTGTGTATGAATTCAGGTCCTAAAAAGTGCTGAGTAGAAACTTTGCGTGACGCCGCTGTTATGGCTGCCTCCTCTAGCGTCTACAACGCAAGTAAACACAGCAGCATGTAAACAGAAAGTGGCAATAACTCCTCTTGCTGTAACTGCAGACACAGCAAAACAGCCTAAACGACGCAACAGTAAGGAAGAGAAGAGGGAACGAAAGCTAAAAAATGATCAAAGGAGAAATCAAGCCTGGGTGAATATACGTAGCGTTAGCTTACATCGTATCTTCTGGAGAGACCTGCTGGAGTGGGACCGCCTTGGACTACATTTGGACGCGAAACTAGCGGTAATCTGACTAAAGCGAGCAAATGAGGACTATCAGTTTTATAAGGAATGACTATTCGGCAGTGATTAGTGTGTGTCATTTTGACTGACAAGACAGACACAAATGCTTGTTATAAAACAGCAGAGAATTGTATGAAAGTAACTGATACATGTCCAAAAGCATTTGTAATTTGTTCATAGGAATGATACATTTCTAATTACTCAGTGTTGTGGAGGAAGTAATCAGATCTACCAAAGATGGCAAAGTGAAGTGGTTAGCAACTTCAGCGAAGCCTGTGATAATTGCCTCATTTACATAACAAAGTTGGACGTTCACAGGTGATTTAGTTTGTTAGCTACAATCCTTGAGTAATTTGGCACCGCGGTGGGCTTTTTAGGTAGAAGTGCCAAATGGCACCTCCATGGGACTTCTAGTGTTAATGTCAAGGCCTGCTCATGTACACTGCAGAAGAGGGGACAGTACGAGGTCTTTTCAGGATGAGATGCAAACTCTTTATCTTAACACACATCTGATTGAAGAACAAAGAACAAACTGTGGTACTTTGAGTTTGGGACGTCTGAGACCTTCTCCGCCACATCAGAATCAGAATCAGAATCATTTTTATTGCCACGTAAGTAACAGGAGATCACAGACTTGGAAATTGCTTTGGCTCAGTGCAACAGTCAGAAAGAGATAATAAAAATAAGAATAAAAAACACTTCTAAAGAATAAATTTAAATTTAAAATAGAGTTACAGTTACTATTTACAATATACAAGTGCACATGGTGCACACAATGTAAGAAGCTACACGACTTTGTGGAGGTCGAGGTACGTGCTAGTGTTTCATTATTATCTGTTATTGTGACGACTTTTAAATTACTTTTACCCTGTTCATATTGATAGAATGACCAATGGACCATTGGCTCCTATGTGTTTGTTTTTATAGCATTTTGTGTTTTTAAACTGTTTGATTCTCTGATCTGTTGAGGACTTCACACTACTCTCCTGCTTCCCCACTTCCCCCACTCACACACAGGTTATTAGCCGCTTGACCCTGCTGTGTGTGATATTGAGTGATAATGAAGATGGCGACCGCTCTCTTTCTCAGGTTTGGAGCGCGGGGCCGACAGACAGGGGCCAACAGACAGGGGCCAACAGACAGGGGCCAACAGACAGGGGCCAACAGACAGGGGCCAACAGACAGGGGCCAACAGACAGGGGCCAACAGACAGGGGCCAACAGACAGGGGCCAACAGACAGGGGCAGACAAGGAATTTCTCATAGGGAACTTCGGCTCCAACTTACTCTGGCTCCCATCGAATTACATGTAAAATAAATCTAACTCAGTGACTGTTTGTTGTAATACTCACCATTTTGGGCTGAAATCCGTGGTTTAGTGCTTTGTGTGCTCATGGTATTAATATTGTGATATTGTCATTGTAAATCCAGATTTGAGCCATGTAAGAAATATGGTGTCACACCAAAACTTGCCACAACAGACTTAAAGATGCAGTCAGTGATTTTTTCCAGATGCATTTTTTAAAATGTTGTGGGAAAACGTCCCTAAACCCTGAAAGAAGTCATGTTATCACGTGTTTTCAAATAGTAATGGAATTGACCAGATGCCTATAACTCCGTGTATCATCCGTTCTTTTGATTTTCTAAATAAAACCAACATTGAAAAAACGAATAACGAGGGATGTTTTTAATCCGTGTACCCTTCGATCATTAGTTATTCCGTTTCAAAATAAAATCAGAAAAACAAATTACGTGGTTGTTTTATTGTATTTCCATTTTCTAAATTAAATTGGAAAATCAAAACATTCTAAATAAAATATTCACCATTTCTTTGCTCTGCAGTGGAAACAAACACTACTAAAACAACTTCCATTATTTTGTTTGATATGCTCCCGGAAATGATGAGTGGTGAGAGACGGAAACAACTGCAAGCTGCACTCAACTCAACTACACGACAACAACTCACGCTGTTGTTGAGCCCGCCCCCCCTGCCCGAGCTCCAGGCCCAAGCTCCAGGCCCGAGCTCCAGGCCCGAGCTCCAGGCCTGAGCTCCAGGCCCGAGCTCCAGGCCCGAGCTCCAGGCCTGAGCTCCAGGCCCGAGCTCCAGGCCCGAGCTCCAGGCCCGAGCTCCAGGCCCGAGCTCCAGGCCCGAGCTCCAGGGGCAAAATGATTACAGCACCTGGTATTCCCAGGCGGTCTCCCATCCAAGGACTAACCAGGCCTGACATTGCCTAGCCTCCGAGATCAGACGAGATCGGGCATTCTCACGGTGGTATGGCCGTAAGCACGGGGGTATGGAGCAGCGTGCCTCCTGACCCTGCTGCTGCGGTCCTCTCCTCCCCCAGAAGGAGTGCTCTTGGGCGGATGGGAGGCGTGCGGTCCCCCGGTGGTTTCCAAGGGCCATAACTTTCTGGTCCTTTGTCCCCCGCGCGTCAAATTCACACCGCGGGTGCCCCGGGACCAGGGGAGTCCCTGGGTCCCACCCCCGTGTCTGTAGCCCCCCTGGCTCGGCTTTGAGGAGCCCGGAAAGTTGAGCTTCCTCCCCCCGGGAATGAACGCCCAGGCCCGGATCTGAGCGGGAGCAAAGCACGCCCCGGTGGTAGCCCAGGACCAGAGGAGTGCGTGGGTGAAAACCCCGTGTCTCTAGCACCCATGGTTCGTTTTCTACAAGCCCTGGAAGCCGAGGTTCTCCTCCCCCAGAAGGAGCGCTCTTGGGCGGATGGGAGGCGTGCGGTCCCCCGGTGGTTTCCAAGGGCCATAACTTTCTGGTCCTTTGTGATTTTCTGATTTTATTTTGAAACGGAATAACTAATGATCGAAGGGTGCACGGATTGTTTTTGATTCTCAATATTTGAATTTATGCAAAATTGAAATATCGGTTTGTTTTTGGTTTTCTGTGGATCCACTTAAAACAAAAATGCAGTAAACCAATAATGACCGTCTAAATTACTTTTGAGATTTTCATTTGAAACACAAGAGTCCCCCGGGAGTGATTTGCAAGTGCGCCCCCCGCAGGTGAACAGTGGAGTAGCGGTGGAGATGAACTAAATGATTGCGTTGGAAGACTTTGCAGATACAGCGATAGAATGGTTCTAAAACATTCAAACTCATGCAGAAATATCAACCACGTTTCACCGACAGGGTTTGTCCAAATGTCAAGTCATCAGCTGAGTCATGTCCCTTCTTTTTGATACAGTGGTTAATCACGAAAGCAAACTTTTTGAAGTTGAACAGCTTGATGTTTTTTGGCAAATTATGAAGGCCAAAGACTAAATTCATCATGTATGTAAATCTTGTGTGTCTGTTCCAGTGTAAATATTTTTGAGTTTTTTGTTCCCAAATTAAAACACTTGGATAGAATTCTGTACGTTTTTTTTTTCTAAATTGTGTTGCATTGCAAGGGAAAAACCGTTAAAAATAATACTAAATCATTAGTGGATTATGTATGAATAGAATTATAAATAATGAAATGACTTTTGTAACAAAACAAGACCGTAAAAAGTTGTGTATTTGAATGTACCTTTACAGAACAACTTACACCTGAGACTTCCTTTCAGCAGCAACATGGGTCCATTTTTATAGGCCTGGCCTTGGCAATCCGTATACTCCGGTCAATTATTACGTCTGGGTCTTATCCCAGCGACTGCAGTAACCACGGTTGTATCCCATCCGACCCAACAGTAAGTAAGTAAGTAAGTAAGTAATGTTTATTTATATACCGCCTTTCACAGACAAGGGTCACAAAGCGGTTTACAATTGTTATTATTTTATGGGGCATTTGTCTCTCACTCCACACAGAGATGGGAGGGGCCAGTACAGGAGGCGCATGCCAGAACTATTGTACATATTTTTAGTGGTAGGGGAAACCGGAGTACCCGGAGGAAACCTACACAGACACGGGGAGAACATGCAAACTCCACTCAGAAAGGCCCTGGTCCGACCGGGATTCGAACCCAGGACCTTCTTGCTGAGAGGCAAGAGTGCTATCCACTCAGCCACCGGGCCGCCCAGCGAGCGCCGGAGATGGGTGTTGTAGGTGTTGGTGACGTCGAGAGTTTGCTTTGTGTTAGTTAGTGGCGGCTAATGATAAACAGTGCCTTGCGAAAGTATTCGGCCCCCTTGAACCTTTCAACATTTCGCCAAATTTTAGGCTTCACACATAAAGATATAAAAACATATTTTTTTGTCAAGAATCAACAACAAGTGGAACAAAATGTATTGGATAATTTACACTTTTTTAACAAATTAAAAACTGAAAAGTGGGGCGTGCTTGGGGTATGTCTCTATCAGTTTTGCACATCGAGAGACTGGAATTCTTTCCCATTCTTCCTTGCAAAACAGCTGGAGCTCAGTGAGGTTGGATGGAGAGCGTTTGTGAACAGCAGTCTTCAGCTCTTTCCACAGATTCTCGATTGGATTCAGGTCTGGACTTTGACTTGGCCATTCTAACACCTGGATACGTCTATTTGTGAACCATTCCATTGTAGATTTGGCTTTATGTTTTGGATCATTGTCCTGTTGGAAGATAAATCTCCGTCCCAGTCTCAGGTCTTTTGCAGACTCCAACAGGTTTTCTTCCAGAATGGTCCTGTATTTGGCTCCATCCATCTTCCCATCAATTTTAGCCATCTTCCCTGTCCCTGCTGAAGAAAAGCAGGTCCAAAGCATGATGCTGCCACCACCATGTTTGACAGTGGGGATGGTGTGTTCAGGGTGATGAGCTGTGTTGCTTTTACGCCAAACATATCGTTTTGCATTGTGGCCAAAAAGTTCGATTTTGGTTTAATCTGACCAGAGCACCTTCTTCCACATGTTTGGTGTGTCTCCCAGGTGGCTTGTGGCAAACTTTAAACCAGACTTTTTATGGATATCTTTGAGAAATGGCTTTCTTCTTGCCACTCTTCCATAAAGGCCAGATTTGTGCAGTGCACGACTGATTGTTAAATCCGGCTTTAAACTTGTCCACAACAGTATCTCGGACCTGCCTGGTGTGTTCCTTTGTCTTCATGGTTCTCTCTGCGCTTTAAACAGAACCCTGAGACTATCAAAGAGCAGGTGCATTTATACGGAGACTTGATTACACACAGGTGCATTCTATTTATCATCATCAGTCATTTAGGACAACATTGGATCATTCAAAGATCCTCACTGAACTTCTGGACTGAGTTTGCTGCACTGAAAGTAAAGGGGCCCAATAATATTGCACGCCCCACTTTTCAGTTTTTTATTTGTTAAAAAAGTTAAAATTATCCAATAAATGTCGTTCCACTTCACGATTGTGTCCCACTTGTTGTTGACTCATGACAAAAAATTAAAATTTTATATCTTTATGTTTGAAGCCTGAAATGTGGCGACATTTTGAAAGGTTCAAGGGGGCCGAATACTTTCGCAAGGCACTGTAGTAAAGTAATCTGTTCTGGTTAGGCTCCAAATATCAAGAAATTGAAGCTGTGAGAAGAGGAATGTTTAGCAAATGTCATTGATTGCAAAGATGTTGTGGCTCCATCAGTGGCAAAGGAGATGGCTAGGCTAAATGCTAGCGACTCACTCGGGTGCGCATTACATACGTCATGGTAAACTCAGATCCAATCATTTCAATCTGCAAAAGGAGTTAACCCCTCCCACTTTTGCTCAATGGAGCAAATCCAGACCTTAGTACAAAAATGAATTTGTACGATGGTGTGGTAAGATCGGGCTAGTCCAAACCATGACTTAAAATAAACCAGGAATTAACCTAGAATAAACCAAGACTGGCCCACGACAAGGACTTGAACAGAGCCAGAAAGCCCAGTACTTTACCCCTCTCTCCTCTCTTTACCCAGGACCTCACCCCTCTCTTTTCTCTCCTGGCAGACACTGTCCGGGATCTCACCCCAAGGACCTCTCTCAACCCTCTCCTGTCTTGATACACAGTGTGATGGAGTGGCCCTAGACCTGAGCGCCATCTCTCTGGAGGGCATTGCCATCCTGAATATTCCCAGCATGCATGGCGGCTCAAACTTGTGGGGGGAGAGCAAGAAGAGGAGGGGCCACCGAAAAAGAGGCAAGAAGAGCCAGACGAAGAGGGTCCCAGTGCTGGACCCCAAAGAGCTCACCTACACTGTGCAAGGTACGTCATCCAGGGATCAGAGAGAGAGAGACCAGAGAGAGACCAGAGAGAGCCCAGAGAGAGACCAGAAAGAGCCCAGAGCGAGACCAGAGAGAGACCAGAGAGAGCCCAGAGAGAGACCAGAAAGAGCCCAGAGCGAGACCAGAGAGAGACCAGAGCGAGACCAGAGAGAGCCCAGAGCGAGACCAGAGAGAGCCCAGAGAGAGACCAGAGAGAGACCAGAGAGAGACCAGAGAGAGCCCAGAGAGAAACCAGAGAGAGAGACCAGAGAGAGAGACCAGAGAGAGACCAGAGAGAGACCAGAGAGAGACCAGAGAGAGACCAGAGAGAGACCAGAGAGAGACCAGAGAGAGAGACCAGAGAGAGCCCAGAGAGAAACCAGAGAGAGAGACCAGAGAGAGACCAGAGAGAGACCAGAGAGAGACCAGAGAGAGACTAGAGAGAGCCCAGAGAGAGAGACCAGAGAGAGACCAGAGAGAAACCAGAGAGAAACCAGAGAGAGAGACCAGAGAGAGAGACCAGAGAGAGACCAGAGAGAGAGCCCAGAGAGAAACCAGAGAGAGACCAGAGAGAGACCAGAGAGAGCCCAGAGAGAGAGAAATCGAAGAGAGTGAGAGACGGAGAGCAGAGAGAGAGAGCAGAGAAAGACCAGAGAGAGATTAACTGCATATTTCTCCATAAACACTCCTCCAGTTGTCCTTGTTTAACCCAGATCTAACTTTGAGGAACTTACTTGCCTTCATAAATATTTCACTGCCGACAAGGTGAATCAGAGGCTTTTGTTTGGTGAGAGGGGGCTGTCGCAGCGTCGGGGTGATGGGAGCTGAACGGGTCAGCGAGAGAGAGAGAGAGCGAGCAAAATGAACATGTGTGAAGCATCTGCAGTCACAAACCCAAAGCTGACGGGATGAAGAACAAGCTCATGGTCAAAAATGCAGTTTTGTACTTTGGTCTGAAACAATATACCTTACGCTGTGTGCTCCTCGCTCCACCCAACCCCCATCAGACCATCTCCAGACCGTGTTTGGCTGGCATAGTAAGTAAGTAAGTAATCTTTATTTATATACCGCCTTTTCACTTCAGATCAGAGTCTCAAAGCGGTTTACAATTGTTCTTTTTGGGCCTTTGTCCTCTCCACACAGAAGGGAGCGGGGCCAGTACAGAAGGCGCATGCCAGAACTATTGTACATGTTTTTAGTGGTAGGGGAAACCTTATTGCTGAGAGGCGAGAGTGCTATCCACTCGGCCACCGTGATAATAATAATTATTTTTGTGACAGGCCTAGGTACTATGTAGATAATATATATTCTTTATCTGAAAAAGCCTTGAGATGTTACATCGATAAATGTATCAATTTAAGTTTTCCTGACTATTTAAAACAATATTTGATTCCTTTCGAATCCTCTTACAGTTTGCGCCATGCAAACCAATGTTTCTTAGTTGTCCCAAGAGTTAAGAAAGAAGTCGGAAAACATTCGTTTAAATTTAAAGCTCCTTCTGACTGGAACAGTTTACCTTCATCCATTCGCTCTTTCACTTCTCTGCCTCTGTTTAAAAACGCTCTGGTCCAACACCTCCAGAACCCATGCCAGTGTTATTGAGCATAAATGATGAATTTAAAATTATATTCAATGATATGCACTACTATAAAGTAGGAAATAGTCTCTGTGTCTCTAGGTTTCCTCCAGGTGCTCTGGTTTCCCCTATCACTAAACACATGTCCAGTGGAATCCCTTCTCTGTGGACTCCCCTGAAAATGACACCTTGATAAATAAAGCTCAATGAAATTATGGAAAAACAATTGTATTGACAAACTGAAATCTACATCATATTTATCCCATTAAGGCCTGACACACCTGGTTAAGCCTGACACACCTGGTTAAGCCTGACACACCTGGTTAAGCCTGACACACCTGGTTAAGCCTGACACACCTGGATAAGCCTGACACACCTGGTTAAGCCTGACACACCTGGTTAAGCCTGACTCACCTGGTTAAGCCTGACACACCTGGTTAAGCCTGACACACCTGGTTAAGCCTGACTCACCTGGTTAAGCCTGACGCACCTGGTTAAGCCTGACACACCTGGTTAAACAGACCTGTAAAACCTATGGCCGAGAACCACCCTCTAAAACCTGAAGTTTTCCTGAAATTCAACGTCTACAGATGATATCTCGGCCTCTGTAGCAGATAGAAACATAATTCCAAAAGAATTTGAGAGCTGACACTTGTGGCTGTCAATTAGAATGCAGTGTATTATTATAAACCTTCAGTAGAATGAAACAAACAATATACAACTTCCACATAGGAAAGATAATAAAACAACCAACAATAATAAGATAAGATAAGATGTGCTTTATTTATCTCACATGTGAGAATAACACATGTTTCTCAACACAATAAGTCAAAAAGCGTTCGGCAAAAAAGTGCCATTCTCAGCCCAAAAAGTCATAATGACTCACATGGCTTTTTCTTAAATAAGTAAAACAAAAAACAAGCAAAAAACAATACTCAGCTTTAATTCAGTGAGTTTTGGCTATGCTTCGTGTGCAGACACGGGGAGACATGGGGGAGAAACAGGGGAGAGACGGAGAAGGGAAGGGAAACAAGCTCAGGATGGTCCTGATGGTCCGCGGTCTGTACATGACCCTGTTAGACCCTGGACCCTGTTAGACCCTGGACCCTGTTAGACCCTGGACCCTGTTAGACCCTGGACCCTGTTAGACCCTGGACCCTGTTAGACCCTGGACCCTGTTAGAGCTGCACGTCGCTGAGCTGTTGTCAAAGGGGCCACAGTTGCTCCTGGGGTCAGAACGGGGGATGTTAATCCCGTTCAAGTACGTAACGCAAACAACAGCCCGCGGTCACACATTTCACAAAAATTATATTTTCAGCAGGAAATAGTCGGAATTTGCGGATCCACAGAAAATTCTAATCTCTGGGATATTCTGATGCATTTCATTGGTCCAGAGAATTGATCAATGAAGAGAATTGGTCGAAATAAGAAAGAAAGACATGTCCGCTTTCCCGGCCTTAAAGGTAGAAGTGCGCAACAGCGCTCCTGGCTCCAAAGGTACAAATGCGGAAATGCATTCCTGGCCTCCATGGGACTATGTGGTAGTTCAACCACATATAAAAATATACAAAATATTGCCATTTTACCGCAATTGCCTCTATATGCCTGATATTTGCTTGTTTGGGTCGAACAAGAACATTTCCTGCGTAATTTCCAGGGGCAGCGTAATGCGTAACGGCGCGTTCACCCTCAGGCGTGGCAGCTAGCTGTATCCGTCAATAGGAAAGCTGCAGAGCAAGAGGTGGCTTTGGAAAGATGGATACACTTCAGGCAGTGCTGAAACTCCAGCCCAGACCCCAACTAAAGTAAAGAATCCGAGAGTGTATTCAAGTGCAAAACCCGAGTCTGACCGCCGTAGGCATCAAACAAGACATTGCTTTTGAGAAGTGGAAAATTCTGAGAGACTCTTTGGACAGGACTATACTGACCCAAATTTGGCATAATTTCTGCCTCAAAGGTAAGATGGTTATTTCTAAATACTTGTGAGAAAAAGTAGATGCAGCGGTGTCCGTGCATCAAGGCTACATAGCAAAATGCATTTTTTTTTGTCAGCAACCTCGTTTTGCTGCGTCTTTGATTGTGGAAAACGCTCATAGTGAGACAAGGATGTCTCATAATTCAGTTTTGGGAAGCGAAAAGTCATTTCTTAGTTTAGTCTTTATTTGAAGGGACAATGTACAGAGACCTTGATGTGGAATTTTATTATCACAGTTAGGCTTACTTTGAAACATTATTATACATATACTTTTTGTTAGATATTATACATGTTATTTTAGTTAAATACACAGTATCTAACTTCTTCCCACTCCTTTTTGAGTTGACGTTTTGTTAACAAAATAAAACATACTGTATATGTATTGTATTATTATTATAATTATTTTTTTCCATTTTGTTGTTTTGTTGCTGTTCTTTGTTTTTGTCTGCCATGGCTCGAAATAAAAGTATTCAATCATTCATTCCTCTTTCAAACTTCGTTCATTCATGTCTTTTATCATTTGGCTACTTCACTGAAGTATCATATCTTGGAAAATATACACTCACATTGATTTAGTCCAAGTATCTTACAAAACAGTAACAGTTCTTACTTCTGTTGAAGTCATCTCCACAAATCTGTAAATTGTCGATGACAAGATTAACACAATGAACGTGGAGGTGAGAGCAAACGCTGCCTGTGCTGATACAGATGTGCTGATACAGATGTGCTGATGCAGATGTGCTGATACAGATGTGCTGATGCAGATGTGCTGATGCAGATGTGCTGATACAGATGTGCTGATACAGATGTGCTGATACAGATGTGCTGATACAGATGTGCTGATGCAGATGTGCTGATGCAGATGTGCTGATACAGATGTGCTGATACAGATGTGCTGATACAGATGTGCTGATGCAGATGTGCTGATGCAGATGTGCTGATGCAGATGTGCTGATACAGATGTGCTGATGCAGATGTGCTGATGCAGATGTGCTGATGCAGATGTGCTGATACAGATGTGCTGATACAGATGTGCTGATGCAGATGTGCTGATACAGATGTGCTGATGCAGATGTGCTGATGCAGATGTGCTGATGCAGATGTGCTGATGCAGATGTGCTGATGTGCTGATACAGATGTGCTGATACAGATGTGCTGATGCAGATGTGCTGATACAGATGTGCTGATGTGCTGATACAGATGTGCTGATACAGATGTGCTGATACAGATGTGCTGATACAGATGTGCTGATGCAGATGTGCTGATACAGATGTGCTGATGCAGATGTGCTGATACAGATGTGCTGATGTGCTGATACAGATGTGCTGATACAGATGTGCTGATACAGATGTGCTGATGTGCTGATACAGATGTGCTGATACAGATGTGCTGATGCAGATGTGCTGATGCAGATGTGCTGATACAGATGTGCTGATGCAGATGTGCTGATGCAGATGTGCTGATACAGATGTGCTGATGCAGATGTGCTGATGCAGATGTGCTGATGCAGATGTGCTGATACAGATGTGCTGATGCAGATGTGCTGATGCAGATGTGCTGATGCAGATGTGCTGATACAGATGTGCTGATGCAGATGTGCTGATACAGATGTGCTGATACAGATGTGCTGATGCAGATGTGCTGATACAGATGTGCTGATACAGATGTGCTGATGCAGATGTGCTGATGCAGATGTGCTGATACAGATGTGCTGATGCAGATGTGCTGATACAGATGTGCTGATGCAGATGTGCTGATACAGATGTGCTGATACAGATGTGCTGATACAGATGTGCTGATACAGATGTGCTGATACAGATGTGCTGATGTGCTGATACAGATGTGCTGATACAGATGTGCTGATGCAGATGTGCTGATGCAGATGTGCTGATGCAGATGTGCTGATACAGATGTGCTGATACAGATGTGCTGATGCAGATGTGCTGATGCAGATGTGCTGATACAGATGTGCTGATGCAGATGTGCTGATGCAGATGTGCTGATGCAGATGTGCTGATACAGATGTGCTGATGATATGTGCTGATGTGCTGATGTGCAGATGTGCTGATGAGATGTGCTGATGCAGATGTGCTGATGCAGATGGGATGTGCTGATGCAGATGTGCTGATGCAGATGTGCGATGTGCTGATACAGATGTGCTGATACAGATGTGCTGATGCAGATGTGCTGATACAGATGTGCTGATGTGCTGATACAGATGTGCTGTGGATGCAGATGTGCTGATACAGATGTGCTGCTGATGTGCAGATGTGCTGATGCAGATGTGCTGATACAGATGTGCTGATGCAGATGTGTGCTGATACAGATGTGCTGATGCAGATGTGCTGATACAGATGTGCTGATACAGATGTGCTGATACAGATGTGCTGATGATGTCAGATGTGCTGATGATGTGCTGATACAGATGTGCTGAGATGTGCTGACAGATGTGC